ACAAGAGAAATTCGCCGTCGTCTTCTGGTCGAACCGACCTTCGAATCTCTTCACCCAACACTTCTACTCGAAATAGAAGTAATCCCAACAATTAAGTCACAATGCCCAGGCCTCCTTCTTCGGGCTGCAGTGGGAAAAAGTGGGAATCCCATCCATTAACCTCTTCTAACGAAATAAAAAGTGCAATCTGCCTACGGCAAATATGCAATATAATGAGCACAAGACTTTTGGAATGGGCTGGAGGGAATATTGACGGTGACTGGTAAAACCTGAAGGAAAATCAGCATCATTAATTAACTCCTAAGGCCTGTGTGACGTTTTGGGTGATAAGAGCCGAACATGAGAATTTGAGAGCCATAAAGGGAGGCCTTGCATCGTTTCCAAAACGTTAAGAATGCATAGACTCTACTAGGGAGAATAAAGAACGCTGACGATACACGTGTGCAGCCAGGCAAGTCTCCTGGATCCAACAAAATCCACAAATCCAATCAGACAGCCCGTCATGGCAACACTTCAAGATCAACTGGTAACACCGAAGAAGGCATGGCAACATCGATCTGGCCGATGGGTGATGGTAGCTCCGAGACGTTAGACAAATCTGAGAGAACAGGAACACTTGACCTGGCTGAAGAGGGCCTCCGAGGCGTGACAAAGAGGTGACTGACACCCGAAAGTGGGTTGTGAAGACGAGAGTATGGCCTCCGAACGCTGGAGGGGAGGAGCACTGGGAGCACCATCAGCTGAACTGGGCGGAAAAGGGTCTACCGAAAGAGTCAAGACACCCAAACGCGCGGTTTACGGATCGAAAGGAGCGCTGAGTTTCGGCCTTGTGGATGACAAGAGTGCGTCCTGCCGATGCGTAACCTGGGCTGCCGGGACAACGGCGACAAGGACCAACGGGACGAGTGGCGAGTGTAGTGGAGAGAGGGAAAAGACGAATGCCACTTACCCGAAAGAAGGAAGACCTTATGGGCCTTGGTGGTGAAGATGACGACGAAAGGTGGCCGAGATCGTAGGCAAGAGATACCGGCACGCGGTAAAGACACGTGACGCACCGAGAGGAGAGCAAACCTCGTCGACGGGGCAAAAGAGGTCGCGTGTGTCTGAGTGTAGTCCCAAGTGTTGGTGTGTCAGCAGCCGATCGCGACAGTGGAAATCGAGTCGCCCGAGCAACCAGGGTCCGAATGAGCTCAGCAGAGGGCAGTCGGGCCGAGGCGTAGGAATGGGCCTTCGGTGGTCTGACTGGTGTAATGCTACGCCCTCGCGAAGTCTCGGAGCCAGGCCTTCTCCTATTGGCTCAATGGGCCGGTCTGTTCCGCCCGAGCCAGTGTAAGGCATGCCGACAAATTACTTGTGCAATCACAAGCCAGACTGAGGGAAAATTCAAGCCAATCAGAAGTGAGACTGTTCAGTCCTATCCTTTAACCACGGGACCGCTCTCTGTACCAAAGCCGTGGAGAGAACACTGCATCACCGAACGATCCAACGATAAACGGCACTTTTGTAAGAGTGGCATGCGAGCATAAACGAATAAAAACTGTCTGAAGGCAATTTATAGCTGGTGCATAGCTAGGCTGGTGTGGAAGTAGAAGTATCGTCCCTTTATTAGGCATCAGGCCAAAATCTGCTAAGAGCTGGCCCACATCAGGCCGCGAGCCGGCAGGGCAAGAATTTCCTGTCGAAAAGGCGTAGTCAGGCTGAGTCAGCCTGTCTATAACAATCAACCAATCAAAACGGCATTACTTCTGACTGCTCCTCATTCGTCCAAAAGATCAATAATACATCTAGCCATTTACAAATTAGACCACCTGTGTTGAAGTAGGCCTATAAGTAGAAATATTAGTTAAATTGGCCATTTTATCAAATAAATAATAAATAGACGCCATCCTCTCCTCTCCTCTC